AAACGAGGAACTCGATTTTCCAGCCTTGATAGTAATTAACTGATATTAAATTTTCCACGGTAATTTTTTTTAAATTGGACGTTTCACTTGACTAGGTAATCATAATAATAGCCCTTGAATATTTAACTACGGAACTTTGTACATCTGTTTGAAGTTTTGGGAGACAGTTAACTCAGGATAAGGATACTTACCCTGGAATTTATGACAAAAAATTTAAATACTGAGGAATGGAAAAAAATATTGTAAACAGAAACATCCGAAAAGACCATTGGAAAAGACCTAAGGTCAGATACAGTTTAGCGACCATATACATACCCAGTCAATGGAGAAGAGCTAAAGTAACTTCCATTCCAAAGGCAGGGAAAAGAGACGCCACTCTTCCGAAGTTGTTCAGACGTTCTTACTGGAAACAGCTGAGAAAGTTATAAATAACTACATCAGAACAAGTGTTTTAGAAAAGACGCCACTATATCCTGGGCAACATGCTTACAGAGCGGGCACATCAACGGAAACCGCTTTATTTAAACTTACTGACAGCATCCAAAACACATTGCAAAATAAAGAAGTAGCCTTCTTAGACATAGAAGGGGCATTTGATATTACCTCTCATTGGTCAATAAAGAATGCGCTCATCAATAAAGGAGTGGACATAACTACATCCACCTGGATCTGCGTAACACTAGCCATCAAAACTACAGAAACTGACGTGGGTGAACAAACCATACAAGTCCCCACATGTGGCAACTAGAGGATATCCGCAAGGAGGTTTACTCTCAGTCTAGTGGTTGATGATCCTCTAAATACACTGACCGATCAGGGCTTCACCTGCTTTGGATACTTCGATGATATTGTCATTATGACCAGAGGCAAATACGAAGGAATACTCTACGACCTTATAGAAAAAGCAATTTGAACCACGAAGGAAGAGTGTCAGACAGTGGGGCTGAACCTGAACTCACTGGTAACATTTACAAAAAGTACGAAACTCCTAAACCTGAGAAACATTCGCTTCAATGGAAGCAGACTTAATTGGAAACGAGAAGCTAAATTTCTAGGAATAACCCTAGATTCTAAACTTCTCTGGACCCAACATGTAGCCCATCAATTCTACGATGGATGTATACCATGATTGTGAGACCTATCATCAGCCTCGTATAGCCGAGTCCAGCTAGGAAAACCCTAAGAAAAGTGCAAAGACTCACGTGTCACTGTTCAACAGTAGCAATGAGATCACTCCCAACTGTGACACTGAAAGTCATTCTAAACCTAAAACCACTCCACATTATAGTGAAGCGGGTTGTCAGCGGTTCATGTGTCAGACTGGCGAAGATAGGTTTACAAATGAAAACGCACTTTGGCAGAACTTTTCCTCTCCCAAACTGTTCACACTTCATGGACCTATCAAAAGACGTGATTGTTGATATATTCAGTTAGGAGAAAAACTTTTCCATCGAACAGTAAACACTATCAAATGGTATAAAGACGGTACCAAAACTACTGAGGGAACTGGAGCCGGAGTATGCGGGCCACGGACCAGATACTCGGAGCCAATGCGAAAACCACCAAGCATATACCAAGCGGAATTTCATGCGATCCGAAGATGCGTGCAGTTCAACCGGAGTTTTCGAAAATGCGAGATTGTATTAATGTCAAACAGTCAAGCAGCTGGCAAAGTATTGATATCCCCGGTCGTCAATTCTAGGATAGTATGGGAACGTCTACAGAAACTCAATGAGCTGGGAAAAGAGAACAAAGTCACCCTCCTCTGGGTGCCTAGACACATAGGGGTCGATGGCAACGAATGCGCAGACAGATTTGCAAGAACAGGAGCGTCTATTCTCTTCACTTGGCCAGAATCATTTCCGGCATCGAAAATGCGTATGACGCTTATCAGGGTCTACTCTTAATCCACGTCTGTCAAATCAAAATGAACGAAACAAAACCCAAAAATATTTAAGTATATCCAATATTCGATTTCGATCAAAATACAAGCAACAATAACAAAACACATAACGAAGTGATACATAACCTCAAAACGAAACTCAGAAGAGATTTATGTGGTGTGTTTTCGAAGACACTATTATATGCCCAGACGAATGATTTCGAACGCACTCTAAATATACGTGATTACGCATGCGGAAGCCAGGATGCGGATGTGATATTCCTGTCTGTAGACGCGAGTTAGTTTCTCCTAGTCGTTCAAATACCTCCTCTAAGATTTTCAAATGGTCTGTAAATATTTGTGAAATTATCAACACATCATCTAAATAAACAAATACCGATGGGGCCAGGTCTGCTAGAAATCGATCTATTAGTCGTTGCCAAGTTCCTGGGGCATTATGAAGTCCGAATCGCAAACGGCAAAACTGGCAAAGCAGTCCTCGATGACAGATGAAAGCAGTCAGGGGTTTCGAGGCTTCCTCAACCGGTACTTGCCAATAGGCACTTTTAATATCCAGGCTCCTAAGATATTTGGCATCCTTAAACTTGTCTAATGTTACTGAGACCAGCGGGAGGGGATAACTCTCACGCTCTGTAACAGCATTGAGCTTCCGATAATCCACACAAAACCTCAATTTCTCTGTGTTTTTCTTTCTCACCATGACAACCGGCGATGCCCAAGGACTGCTCGAAGGTTCGATAACACCCAACCGTAACATCTCGTCGATTTCCTTATCCACTAGTTCTTGAATTACTGGTGAAACTCTATATCTGTTTGGATATCCGTTGCTCTATCCTTTTACATAAAGTCTTTAAATGAGACAGACTAGTAATCCCTAAGGCTCTGAGAAGTATATATTGGACTGATGTTTCTCAATAATATTGTTAGCTTAGCTTCCTCTGAGATGGGGCAATGCAAGCGTTGGAAGTAACTTGCCATCACTGCCATATATGTGCCAATCGTTTCATCTGGGCCTTGATTTCTACGTCTGATATCCTCCCAAAGCCGCTCTGAATAGAAAGCTGGTTGATACTCGTCTTTGAACTTTAAAACTAGTTCATCCCAACTCTGAACTTCAGTTCTACAATCCTGGTAAAATTCATAGGCTCGGCCGTCAAACAAATCAATGCCGGACTCTTACAAAATGTCCTTTGTCACATTTCTGGCACGTCGCAACTCTTCGACTCTTTCAAAGAACGCTGTGACAGAAAGACCGCGCTTATCACCGCTAAACTTAATATTCCACTTGTGAGGCATAATAGGTTGTATTCCAAAGGAAGATCATGACGTAGTTGGTCTACTAGCTATAATAGGCGATTGGACTGGTGCAGCAAAAGTTGAGCTGGGTAATAGAAAATTAGATGGCGGTATAGTGGCAGGAGGATTAAAAGATAGTTGGGCCAAACCACCCTGGAGGGCGGCCAAGTTAGGAGGAGTAGGTAGATTGCTTGCGACAGCTGCTGCAGCTTTAGTATTAAGCTGATCAATCATGGTTAAAACTTGAGCCACAAGTATACTTCGTACGTGTATTTCATCTGGTGTATTACAAGGAATATTATCTACTCTCCCAAGATGTGATTCAACATAGACTGCAGTTTAAGAAACTGTCCACTCTTCTTCGTGTCTGAGAAACCATCAATGACCAGACCATCCAACTTTCTCGCCACTGCCTCTATGTCGATTTGGAATGAGAAAGGGTATGGTGGATAGTGTAAACTTTCATTCTGCCTTTCCATTTGTCTTGCTAAAGCAAAGTGACTTCTTATTTCCTCCACTGTACCTATACCTATACCTCTTCAGTATCACTAAATCACTCAAGAACTAAGTATTCACAAACTATTGCTACACCAACTAGCACTAATAAAAAAAACGTTTTCATAACAGTACTCAACACAAATGGAAAATCAAGGCACAAGAATCCTCTATCAGATAATAATAAAAGACCTATAGAAGAACACAAGAACCGCCCAAACAGTTAAAACAAAAGGGGCCTCACGTTAGGCGCCAAAAACTATGACGCTTTATTTTATACAAGAACATACACCAACAGAACTAAGATGACGTCAGAATTTAAATATACTGAGGCCCCAGCTTTTAAATAATGGAGATGGGTCGGGTAACGAATTTACCAAAATATAATTTATTCATGTTAATGCCATGAGCGCCACGTGATTATAAAAAGCACCAGGTCCTGGATTCATATGGTGAAAATCATCTTAGATTATGAGTACAAAACTATAGGATCGGAAGAAATTTCTTGAATAGAAAATGAGGAACTGAAGGATCATCAGATGAAAAATAGAAAAAGCCCAAGTGAAGATCAAATTACTATGTAAATGAATAAAATGGGGAGCCAGGTGTTATTGGCTTTCCTGGACAATTGTTTATTGGAAGGAATAAAGAGTGACAAAGTGTAGAGAGGAGGTAAACCAGAGAGGAGACACACAACAAAGAAAACTATCGTCCTATCATCTTGTCAATTCGACATCCAATATAAGTAAAGCTAGCGCAATACTTTTGGAAAGTTGTCTGTCTCTCAATTTTCTGAAGGATAAAATCTAAAGGACTTGAGTCTAGCATCTCGATGTTTTTTCGCACAGTCCACAGTACACAGTCTATACAGAACTTGAACTTTATGCATGTGCAAACTGTTTCTGACAACGTCTTGAAGGAAAAATATGTGAATCTTGAAAGCTACGTCTTTTCCTGAGTCTTTGTTGATGATATCTTTATAATATCGCAACTACCTGTATACTAACTTTAAAATATTGTGAATGTCCCAAAACTCTTTTACCTTTTTAACAAATCAGTTATGAAAAAGTTAAAATTGCCAAGCGCCTTAAAAACCTACTTAAAAACTAATAACGACCAAACGTAACTCAGAACGAGTTTGCAAAGTTCTCAAAACTCGCTTTGTAAGCAGTTAAGTGCCCTTTAAAAACTACTTCGTAAATAACAGAATATTTAAAAAAATAAACAGCGAAAGAATATAAAATCCATGTTTCTTTTCCGAGACACCTAATTCAAACGAAATAATTAATTTCTATTTATCTTACAGACCCTCCAGAAGTGGAAGTCGAAAGGACAACGGTACACACGGGTATAGGACTAGAGGCCCAATTGGTTTGCATAGTTTATGCAGAACCTACCGCACAGGTATGTTTTCTTAAAATATTTATTGATAGCTTTTTTTATAGTTCATTCAAGAAACTGAGTTTTAAAGATAAATTTTACCATACTCATAAATACATATCTACAAACAGGTAAATATAATTTTCGGAAAATTTAGCGTAGAGCTAGTAGCTGAGATTTATATTGTTATAGCCTTCCATAAAATGCGATTTATTATTTGCATAAGGGCCATTGAAGATTTTACGAGCTCTTGGAATAAATTTGAAATTTTTATGACACAGATATACTCTTATATTTTTTACCTTTTCTCGCTAATAGAGCTATAACAGGATATTAGATAAAGAGAAATTAATTTTATTGGGCTTTGCCAATTTGATTTATTCGCTTTCTCGGAACTTCTGCATCCTGTAAAGCTTCTACCGGTTCTTTCAACCTAACAAAACAATATTTTCCTTTATCGTTTCATTGTCCCCGATACTTTCCTATTTAAAAGTTGGGTTTTGTCCCTCTATTGCGACCGTGGTAGTTTCTGTTAAGTAATAACGTCAACTTTCCCTAACAACAAGTTTCCATTTGAGCTGTTCTTAATTTTGTTTTGTTTTTACAGTCGACTGTGTTTGTTTTCCGTTTCAGTTATTTTAAATTGGTTTTGATGGAGAAATTCAAGAAATTCTTTATTTTAGAAGGATATACTGCAAATTTTTAAATAGAATATATTCCATAAGAAAAACAAAATTTTATGTAAAAATAGAAAGTTTAAAAGGGCCTTTATCAAATCTGGATCTTTTCGGAAAAGTTCGTGAACCATTCAATAGTCAAAAAGCGAATTTCGAAACTTGAAAATTAAATCCCGAAAAGTTTTTCATAAGGAAAGAGAACATGCTAAACACGATCGTTGAATAACAGGGTTGTCTTTAAACTCAACTCGAATAAATCCCTCTTCTCTTGTTTGACGGGCTTTTTGGGGAGAACAATTTAGCTTTGTGGAACAAGATTTGAAATTAGTCGCAAAGATTTTTTTCTTGTATTGGGAACAAATATAAAACGAAAAAAATCCGTTTGAGAGACATCTAATAAAATCGCCAATAACGAGCAGAAATACAAAGTGACAAATAAAATGTATTTAAACAAGTTGTTTATTTTCTAATCAACAATTAAAGATCCATAATACCTAGGAAACGAAATATGTTAATATACCTATAACAACCTGAAGGCATTATAGGCGTTATGATCTATAATGCCTGCCTATAATACCCTGAGGTGTTATAGTTTTATTCATTTGCACTCTTCCCTAGACAGCCAGTAAATGTCTGACCGAAACTAATTTTCGGTCTGAGGCCTTATTGACAGTTAAATGAAACTTTGTGTTGATTATGTTCAGTTTTCAAGGAGGTTCTGCTTTTTGCCGTTTCCGCCAGTGATGCGCATACACCAAGCGTCACAGCTATAGCCAAAGCTGAGAGGAGAGCGTGCTTCTCTTGGCTAGATGGATTGTTTTCGTAGATCAAAAACGCCCTTCGAAAGTTTCACCTGAAATAGTAATGTCGAATTTACCGAGTTCCGGTCCTATAATTCGGTCCATTAAACGTTGAAAAGTTGCAAGCGCAGAGTGTAATCCGAACGGCATCACCCGGAACTGGAAGAGGCCCATGCCTGGCACGATGAAAGCAGTAGTCGGTTTGCTACCTTCGGCCATGGGTATTTGTCAATAACCTTGCTTCAGATAAATGCCAACAAACGTCTAGGTACACCGGAATTGAATTTGAGTGAAAGGCTTCGCGCATGCGTAGAGAAGAAAGTAGCGAAAAATCATCCCAAGTCCCGTTGTACTTAAATCCCCCAGTCGGATCTCCGAGGGTGTCTGCTCATCGGCTCAAAAAAAGCAAACTCGTTAAACGTTGCATCTTGGAACATATATACTGACACTTCTAAGCACGCGGAAAGAAGAACAGCCACAATTAGCCATGAACTAAATAGTACCAATATTGACATTGCTGTCATAAGTGAGACAAAATTCCTGAATGGAAACACTGAAAACTACTCGAGGATTTTCGCGGGTAGAGGACTCCCTGAGGAGCTTCATGTTAACCCTATTATTACTTGTTTTAAGCTGTTTCCTTCTGTGCCTTCGGATGCATTTATTGATGCGTAGCACTCCCATAATATACAATTCACCTTTCACTTAAACACTAATTAATATGAAGAGAAAGTTAAGGGAAATTGGAGGATTAGAATTTTGGTCCTGGGCGGGATTTGAGCCCGCGTCCTCAGCATTGTCGGTGCTACGCTCTAACCAACTAAGCCACCATGACCCTACAGATCTTTTTGATTTTTGCTTAGTGTTGTAAGAGGAAGTTTCGTGGTTTTCCGCTCATTGCCAAACTTCTCAATCATTCAATAGACCCACAGATTTATGGCATCGGTCCTAACTCGAATAAGCTCCTTATTACTATGTAGGTTTCGTCCATGTGTGTTAAAACTTGGTGTATGCGATGCCCGCATAAGCAATGTTGAAAGGAATGTAGTTTTTGTCAGTTACAACCGAAAATCGTAGAAATTGAAAATCAAGAGAAAGTAAAGGGAAATTGGAGGAATAGAAATTTTAGTCCTGAGCAGGATTCGAACCCACGTCCTCAGCATTGACGGTGCTACGCTCTAACCAACTAAGCCACCATGACCCTACAGGTCTTTTTGATTTTTGTTTGGTGTTATTAGAAGCAGTTGCGTGGAGGATTGAGAAGTTTGGCAATGAGTGGAGAACCACGCAACTTCCTCTTATTATTATGTTATTGGAAAAACTAACGTTAATACTAATAGCATCACGTTGCATCCTCAGGTAATTTCGCCAATCGTCTTATTCAAATCGTAATTCTTCTAAAAGATTTGATTGCGTATATTTTGAGCGTTTTAAAAGCCAATCTCTGACCAATTTTGTTCGAATTTTTGGCTTTTGAACTATAATATATATTTAAAAAAAAATTAAAACAGCATATGCCGTTTTCAGTAGATTAAATTCGTCGTCACTGTTCATTGTGTACTTCCATACTACTTGTGTGATAAGCTAGTGTGTAGATCTGTGGGTGAAAAGCGCTCGTCATACATGGACGATAAGGCGGTTACACACGGACGTGGATTTCTGAAAACATGTATGCACATACATGAACGCACAAACAAAAACATCAATGTGTATGCAAAATACCGTCGTGTTTTTGAATGTGCAAACTGTAGAATGACGCTCAAATGAATTCTGGACTCGCTAGACATTTTGTATGCACCTCGAAATACTGTAGCAAGAGTAGCAAGACTGACAGTGAAAAAGAGGGCCAAGAATAACCCCCAATTTATCCAGACCGTCGCTGAACGGTGGCCGGGGAAAGTTCTCATTTTCGAGCCCCTGACCATCGGAGCCAGAGGAATTTGGACAAGATTCAATAAGCCCTCAGATACTCATCTCCATCCGACCCTCCGCAAGCTGCGTTCATTCTGCCCTAAAATAGGGCTCTACCATCCTCCACCACTTTGGTGCAGTGCTATGGAACAGAAGACGAACACCGTCCATTTTCTCTGCCAGCCCTGCAACAACCTTGGTCACATGGTCATGGCGCGGGTAGCGATCTTCATAATACCTTGCCCCTTACTCACAGACATCATCAGGGGTAAGCATGACAGGCAGGTGATCTAGTATCAGTGGATCAATGAAAACATGTAGTTTGTCAGCGAAACCTTTTCAAGTCATCACAACTGTAAACGAAACAGTGCTCCATGTTCCAATGTACAAGCAGTCATAAAAAAGTGTTTCCATACCTCGAGAACCATTCAGCAACCAGCAACAACGTGAATCAGATCCAGAAGGAGAAAAACTATGAGTGAGAAATTTTGGCTGATGTTTATCCTGTTCCGCGCCCATTGCTATTTTTCCTCAGATGTATTCTTTTGAAACATAAACGTGACTTTTTGGACTGATGAATAACAACGCGCATTATTCTATCACAGCTAGCGCTTTTCCATTTGTTCACTATTGTATGTATAAGAAAAATTAAAGTTCCACTGTTAAATACCATTAGAGTATTCAAGAGATTTGCTGGCATTTATTAGTGGATCCTTAAAATGTAAAAAGCTTCTCCTATTGTGTTCCAGTTCTCTGTAATCAAATAGAATCAGGCAACAAAAAAGGATCGTTTATCATTTTCAATTTGAGGATTTAAATTCTGGAAAAAGTGCCTGGAGTATTATTTATTGATCAAAAGAATCATCATGTTGTCAAAATAAAAGTCTTGTTCAATGTTTTTTAAACACAAATTTTTCAATTATATTAATTTCCCTCGGGTGAATTTATCATCGTTAGAGCAGAAATTCGTTTGGGGATTCAATAAGTTTATGGAAAGCCACTTGACGTGACTAATAAGGATCATAATAAAATTAGGTAATGGATTGTATGTCGCTCGAGTGTTTTTTTTTGCCGTTTCGAAGGTATTGTTTCCAAAAAAAAAAAAAAAAATGATGTTTGGAATTTTTCACATTTTTGATTTAATTTGCCTGAAAGTTGAATACGTACGTCTTCCAAACAAGTGTTTTTTTTCTGCTGGATTGACAAAAAATTCAGTAACGTGTGTATCATATCTACCCCAATTTATTTCTGTGACTAAAAAAAAAAAATAGGAGCAAATATTGTTCTTAAAAAAATTTCCGGGTTACCGAACAACATTTGTTTCTTCTCAGTTCCCTATTGGATATGCTGTTTGTTATTTATTAGCCACACTCGAAAATCCCTCAGGACCAAGTTTCTTTGCATTTAATTTAAAATTATTTCGAATAAAGATATGATATTTGTAGAGTTTCCGTACCGTTGGGAATGTTGCTTTTCGGTAAACAAAAGGAACAAACCAGTGTACATCATATATAATTTATATTGAAACATAATTTCGGCTGGAAACGGAATGCCACAATAGCTGTCGGAACTTGCTTATCTATTTTCACTTCTGTGAAATTTATTTGACAATTCTGCAATCTTGTCAACTAGCGACACATCCCTTAATATAATTGAAAAATTTGTGAACAAGACTTTCATTTTGATGATTCTTTTGATCAATAAATATTTCTCCAGGGACTTTTCCCAGAATTTAAATCTTCAAATTGGAAAGGATAAACGACTCTTCTTTGTTGCTCGATCCTATTTGATTACAGAGAACTGAAGCACAATACAAGCAGCTTTTTACGTTTTAAAGATCCACTAATAAATGCCAGCAAATCTCTTGAACACTCTAATGGTATTTAACAGTAGAACTTTTGCTTATACATACAAAAGTAAACAAATGGAGAAACGCTAGCTGTGGGCGCGGAACAGGGGAAACATCAGCCAAAAGTTCTCACTCATACTTTTACTTCTTCTGGATCTGATTCACGTTGTTGCTGAATGGTCCTGGAGGTATGAAAACACTTTTTTTTTACTGCTTGTACATTGGAACATGGAGCCCTGTTTCCTTTACAGTTGTTGATGACTTGAAAAGGTCCTTCTCATTTTCATAGACGGTCCATTTCCATATGTAGATTGAGATAGTTGAGGTATTTAGGCTGCTCGGTGCCTCACCCGCACGGGAGGCATCTTTCAGCCTGACGGAGCTATATCTTGCTACCAATTGGTGGTGGGTCTTTTGGGAAAATTTAAATCTCTACTCCCTTGTCTTTTCTCTCTTCTACCCTCTTTGGTAGTTTTGTGGTGGATAACTTTGGAGAGTTCTTCGCTGGCATCCGGTGCAAGACACGTGCACGAGGTTCTACTATGGAATTGGGGAGTAAAACGCAACACTAGTTACGCAAAATCACATGACAACTACAAGCAAAATAAAAATTGAAAAAAAATAATAATAATAATATATTACAATTTTTCCTGTCTGCAGTGGGTACCAGGGAGGAATGACCTAGAGGCTTTCGCCACAGGACAGCCAATGCTTAATTGCTTGTTTTTCTTTTCTTTTCTCTTCTATCATTTTGCTTATTTTGACCTCTACTTTTACTTTACCTGATGATGGTTATCTTACCTTCGTGGTTTTTCTTAAGGTGAAGTAAGCAAATACTTTACACGTAGCTTCACCTGGACTTCATATTTGATAATCTTTGCTTATCAGTATTTTGTTAGTTTTTCTCTCACTTTAACGTTCCCTATCTCTATCTTGTTACTTAAGCTTAGCTGATCGTCGGAAAAGTTTCCTTTGTTACTTTTCCCCCTGTCGTATGAAAGGGGGAGTTGTGACAATTTTATTTCGACGTTGCTTTTCTCATTCACCAACTTATCCTGAATATACGATTGTGAAGAATAATGTTTATTCTTCACTGGTTACAACGTTGTAATTTCTAATCCGCTGGCATTTTGGCCAACTTTATTGAATTTGGGCACAACAATTGTCTTGGCTTGGTTTTATTTGGATTTGCCTTGGGAAGTTGAGAACCACTTTGTGGGATTTTGTGGTTGACACCGGGTGAGTAATATTTCACGTTATATTTTCTATGGTGAGTCCTTTCCTTATTCTTGCATTGGTTCTGATTGAAGAAACAGGATCGGATTCTTAGGGTTACAAACACCTTGACCCATCGAGAATATTGATATGAATGCCTAGTGTTGATATTGACTGCTTACTATTGATATTGTATCTGTATTTAGATGATCTGCGGCTCGCACTCAAAAATCAACCATTTTTGCTCCGAACCAAACAAACAAGCCTTGACGATAGTTTCCTCATTATTTTTATATTATGCATTTTCCTACCACTATTTCCCATAAAAATCTTTTTGTGGCTCAGCAAATTCCGCAAGCTTGAATTAATTTTGCTAAGTAGTCTATAGCCTGTATCAACAGTTCTAAAAAGTCATATTTATAAATAAAGTTTCCACCGTCAACTTCAACTATTTTACAGTCACTCCCTTTTTCTGAGTATTAAAATTAAAATTTTAAATAGTTTATAAACTGCAAAATTAATTGAAAAATTGATAAATTACCCAATTTTTCTTCGTTAAGAAAAATAATTAAATTTACTCTCTAAAACTACTTAATTTTTTAACTACTTAAGCAACTCGACATCACTTTGAAAAAAAAAAACTTCTTTTTATTGTTCTTAATAACCCCCATTATCTAGAACTAAACGCTTTTAACTTCCCGGCCCTAATTAAGTCGCAAACTTTTAAAAAATTTCCTTTCACAAGGAGGTTAATATTAGATTATGCAGTTTGAATATTCAAGTAGACGATATCTTTTTAACTTTTTTTCCTGACGAAAAAAAAAATCCTACGTATGCAGAGCTCTATAATGTAAATGCAATCCAAAACTTTTCGACACGTCTAAACTCTCCTCTCCAAACAACTTTACCGAAATAACTGAGTTTTCCCTGTTTGGGGGTTCATTTTAATAAATCCCAGGACATTGTTATACACAGCCGTGCCGAAAATGAAAAGAAAAAGTACCAGGCTCGAACTTTTGAGAGTTGTATGTGGTTATGCGGAAAACACATTTTTGTTTGCGAGTTAGCAATTATATTACTTTGAGAGAGTTAATCACAAAGGCCTATTTTAAGTATATTTTTTTGTTCCAGGTTTTATGGTACAAGGAATCGACTCAATTAGGAATTACAGAGCAACATGCCACCCAAACACGAGGCAACAGATACACTTTGACTATTAGGAACGTAGCTCCAAATGATATGGGTAATTACAGGTAAGTTACTTGCACAAATGTGAGACAACTAGCCAAAACAATCCACAAAATCAAATCTGGGCCTTTTTTATTACAACGAATATCAAAAGGCAAATGATAAGGAAAATCGTAAAGCTAACAATAGAGCAAAATGCCTGTCGAGTTCATGCATTCGTGACTTTGCGTTCTAAAGGAACGAAATGGGGAGATCTGATATTGGAAACAATATGCGAGTACAATTTTATTTTCTCCATGTTTTGCCCAGACATTGTTGCCATAATTCGAGTAAATCTGATTTTTCACTCTTTCTATATGGTTACGGTTAGGCTAACATGGCATTATATTGTCAACTATTTACTTAAGTAAACACCACTCTGTATAACAATTTTATTAAAGTGTTTAAATGAGTCAGCATTAATTTGGTATAAATACCGCGTCGAGATCATTACCGGCAGACTAAGGCTAGTGCAAAGTACCTCAATTGAGAAAAGCCCCTCTAGCTAAATTTCCTCCCAGTGCAAAGTACCTTTATTGGGAAACGCCCTTCTGGGAGTATTGAACCCAGCAAACTAAGTCTAGTGTAAACTATCTTTATTGGGAAACCCCTTGTGGACCTGTCTCAAACCCAGCATACCTTATTGTACCTATACCAAGCGAGTTTCTCTCTACCTGAACCCCACCTACGCCCCCAGATTGTGACGTCCCAGGAAGAAACGTATAGGGGTTGTGACAATATAAACTACGAAAGTATGATACCTACCCATTTAACTAAATAAAGTACTTTTTTTAAGATTTTCACCAAATAGAGAAACGTCGCAGCGTCACTATGGAAAAAATACTTGTCTTAATAAGCACGATGTTGACAAGACCCACTATACTTAAAATTTGTATAGACTAGCTTCCTAAGTCTGGCAACATCTGGTGTTATATTCCATTTTCAAGAGGTTTTCATTCTATTCTTATTATAGAGCGAATAGTCAGCAGCTTTCACTGAGTACAGAAACTCTTGCTGCACCAACGCAATTTTTTGTGCCAAGCAATTTTCTCTTATCTGTCTTTTATTCGTTGCGCTTATTTCGTTTAAGTGAAACGTTATCTTTTTTTTTATATATCCGAGTACAAAGTGGCTTCCTACTTTAATTCAAAAATATCATATATCCAATCCGATGTAATTCCACAATCAGTAAACCACAAAATTGCCCATATGTGTAATTATTGCAACCGCACAGCCTGAAAACATTTTCTGCTCATTGAGCCGAATATTTCCGAGTCAACATTATTGCATCTCGAAGATTTTCACGGTTCGAATGGTGAGGATAAGCACCACGTGTACATTGTATAAACTTTGGGGAATAGCTAAATCATACGTATTAATTTTCTTGTTATGTAAAAGATAAACTGAATCAAAAGAATCCATTTCAAATTAAATTTTCACAAAGAAATCTTCACTAACGCTCTCTCTCTCTCGGAATTATAGCACGAGGCAAGACAAATAACGGAAAATCGCACACAAAAACTGAAAATGTATTCATAACACACAATTTTTGGTTTACCTATGGTTGGAAATGCGGCCGGCGTTGTTTTCCTTCAGCGATGTTTGCTAAAGGAAACAACAAAGCGCCGAGAGTGGAAACTGAGAGCATGGAAAAACTGAGGAAATAGTTTTTTCTCCAACATTAGCCGCGAATGTCAATAACAATAGACCTGGCGTTAATAAAGGAAGTGCCCAATGTATTTATGCATTCGTGACTTCAGGCTTTAAAGATAAAAAATCTGGAATCTGATAACATGGACATTATGCATTTATATTTCTGTTTTGTTCATGACACGACTATCAAGGCATTGTTGCCAGGTTTAATGTCTGGTTGAACATTTTATAATTGTTTCATTAATATTAATGAAAGGGTATTATTGACGAACAAAAACAAAATTGCTCTCAAAATAATATACATTAACAATGAGGGGTTGGACACTCATTTATTAAGCGCCTAAAGGGGCGCACTTCTTTGAGCTTCAATATAAATGAGGCTTATCACAGTATTCAAAATTGTGGTTGGAAAAATGATTACTTCTCTGGAAAAAAATTTTACTAACCCCAAACTTTAGATTATTGTTGCTTCCCAGAACAATGCTTGTTCACTCTTACACCATTCTGATTAGCATTGTTCTTCAAGCACTCGGTTCTTGACGACGTTTCGCGTAAATCGCATATGGTATTTTCAAGTATTCCTTCTCCTCCTCTGGTCTTCTTATCAGCCATCTATCTTCTCCAAGGTTGTTTGGTTATAGTTTGTAGTGGTATGAATATTGTAATAGATGTTTAAACAATGTTGAATACAAAAATCTAACTACACTCACCAGAGAGTTTTGACCATATCACTTCTCCTTTTGGAGGTATGATTTCAGGAAATATAGAGTATATCAATTGGGTAATTTCGTTACTATTACAGTAATTCTCATTTCGTTACTTTGCTCCTCCCCATCATTGTCATTCATGGTGGTTCAGTTTTTTCCCAATGTTGGTCATAGCCGCTTTATTTTGGATTAATGCGAAAAAAAAAAACATTTTGTCTGATTTTTATTAGGTACTATTATTTATTATTCAATAACAAAAGGCGGCAAAGTCCATGAGTCTATTGATTGGTTTATATCAGTTCACAATAAATTTTAAGTCTATAATCAATTGTCACATCCAAGTGTGTCACTAGTTCAATGGGGTTAATGCACAGACTTGTTATTATATTCACTAAGATATTCATCCACGTAATTTTTGAAAGAGTTAACACTAGTGGCATCTACCGCATCCTGACTTAGGTTATTCTACACGACCCTGGACTCGCTGAACTTTCTCTACAAGATCTATATCTTTGACATAATAAGGACTCCATATAATTCGCATATATTCTAGTACAGGTAATATGTATGTTTCATATATAAGTCCAATTAACACAACAATAATTCATTCCACGTTACTACACACTCTGACACTAATTACTTCACTAATTAACTCAAACAACTAAACTCTTTACAACTGAACAAAATTCACTCTCTAAAATGTATCACAGTCAATCTTAAACTTAAAAACTACTAATACCGGCCTTTATATATCCGAAATCCATTATTGCAAAATCCAGAATAAACGCGATATACTTACCTTTTTCTCGAAGAGCAATGTAAAATCTAGAATCAGTTGTCCAATTCTGTACACCGTGGCGGAAGCTCCACTTTCTGTAACCTTCTGCCCTCCTCCTAAAGTTGATCATCCCGACTAACTTCGCGCCCATGATATTTTGTCAATCTGTCCAAATATACAACTTTCATCTTACTCCTGGTGTTGCGCTGAACTCGATAAACCAAATCATTAATCCTCGTGATTATTCTGTAGGGTCCTTCCCATGCTGAAGACAATTTCGACGACACTCTTTTCTTTCTTGTTGGATTATACAGCGACAACAAATCATCTTCTTAAAATCCGGCTGAATTGGCTTTCCAGTCCTATCTGGTCTTCATTCGGTCACTGGCCAGCTGAATATGCTCCAGAGCAAAATCATGTATTCCCAGAAGTCGTGCCCTTACTTCGTCGGCATAATCTCGAATTTCTTTTCGTTTTACTTCAGATATTCCAAACATCAGATCACAAGGTAACCTGAGTTCACTTCCAAAAACGATTCTAGCTGGACTTTCACTTGTTGACTCGTGAACAGCTGCTCTGTAAGCCACTAAAAATAGAGGCAAGTATTTGTCCCAATCTCGCTGGTTCTTTGTGACCACTTTTGTCAGGTGTTCCTCTATGGTCTTATCAAATCATTCTACCATGCCATCAGACTGTGGATGTAAAGGTGTTGTCTTTGTCTTATGAATGCTCATGATCTCACAAATCTTCTTAAAGATGGCAGATTCAAAGTTTCGCCCCTGATCTGAATGCAACTCTAGTGGTACAACATGACGAATGAAAACTTCGTCCACTACCACCTGGCCAACAGTGATGGCTTCTTGATTGGGAATAGTGGAAACTTCTGGCCATTTACTGAAGTAATCCATGGTCCGGCTACATCTATCGCTATTCTTTCAAATGGGAGACTGACGTTGTACTGTTTCATGGGCCTCTGAGATCTTAGTTCAGGTCCTTTACTTGTAACACAAATGTCGCATTTTCGACACCAGTTTTTAACGTCTTCATGAGAGTGGAACCAGTAAAAACTTTCCCGAATTTTCTCCAAAGTCTTGTTAACTCCAAAATGTGCCCCCGAAGTTCCTTCATGTATTTCTTTCAATACATCTTCTCATGCATATCGATTCTTCGACAATGCTTGCAGTCTTCTTTAGATGGCCGTCTAGACAGAGGGTCCACATTTTTATGCAGATTTCCAGGTCGATGTTTAATTTGGAAATCGTATTGCTGCAATTTCTCAATCCATCTAGCCAGTGGCGAGGCAAGGTTAGCCGGGGCCCCGATGCAAATAAATTGCAGAGGCCCCAAGTTGAATAGCAAAGGCGCCGGGCCATATGTTGCCATAGAATTATACAGGGTGTCCTTAGATAAACTGACACATTTTACAGGTAAATATCTCGAAAACGCGAAAAGATAACGTGATGCGGTTTGTTCTGGGAGAATAAGGATTTTTTCACATTATTGCCGAATCCTAAAATTTGCTGAAATTTGTTTTCACAGACATGCGATTTTTTGACATAAAATGACTGCCTTATTTTTAATGAAACACCCTGTATATTTTGTCATCGTTAGAAAGCCTGATTTTTTTACTTTACAAAAATGTATAATTTTTTTCAATTATCTTGAACCTGCATCGTGAAAATTGCACTTTACCAAAAAAAATATCATCAACTAACTAAAAAAAAAATTGAGAATTAATTTGTGTTTAATACTTTTATTAACTAATTAGCGCATAGTTAACTAATAATACAAGTATTAAACACAAATAAGTGTATATAAAACACAAATTAATTATTAAAAGTATAATTTTTTTTTTGGCCAGTCGACGGTACGCTCTTCAACCAAGTGC